AAGAGCTGGAGCCGTTCCCCACGTATTGTTTTATTTCGGGGCCTGCGGACAAATATTCCTCAATCCCGAGGGGAGGGCGGGAAGTGGCGAACAATGGTCCTGCGAGCCGGCAGCCCCACTGCGCCGGCCGTACCCTCCCCCCCGGGGCTGGGGGGCTGCCAGCGTCCCCCCGCTGTGGGGCTGGGATGGGGACCCCGGCAGAGGAGAGCTGTACCCCATCTCTTCCCTTGGGGATCCAGGTGAAGCCCCTGGGGCGGGTGGCCCGGGGACAGCAGGGTCCCCCCCGCGCGCTCACAGCCTTGCCCAGGGTGGTGTTGAAAAGCGATTAAGCAGCGTGTGCTGGGACAGGTCCCCATGTCCCCAAGTGTCCCCCACCCCAGCCCCGAAGCTCAGTCCTGGGCCAGAGCCGAGGCCGTTCTGCCGCTTCCTGCGCAGGAACAGACTCTGGAAACACCCGCCGAGGCCCCCGGATCCGGCCCCGCTCCTGCCCTGCCCTGGCTGTGGTTTGGGAACGGGTGCAGAGCCTGTCCCCCCCATTCCATGGGTGCGGGACCCCTCCCTGGGACGACCTCTCCTCTGCCATTGATGCAATGAGTTTGCCTTCTCAGCTGGGCTGAGAGGCCGAGTGCGGGGCTGTCTCCCGTGGGTGCTGCCTCCCACCTTCCCTGGGAAGGGGGAGTGGTTTGGAGACCCCTGGGTGCCCCCCCACCCTGTCCCCTTCCAGGGAGCACTGTGGGGTGGGGAAGGGGTGCTGTGGACGGGGGGATGCCCTCAATGAATCCTGGGGCACCCCATCAGTGCCAGCCCCTCTCCCAGGCAGGAGGGTGGGAGCAGTGGGGGGGGACAAGCACAGCCCCCCTTGTCCCCGCTCCATCCCGGGGCAGGAAGGGCCCAGCCAGCGCCTGCCCTCCCTGCCAACAAAAGCAGCTTTTTGGGAGGCAGCCCTGGCCCTGGGTCAGCCTGGGCTCGGCCTCTCCCTGCTGGGCTGGCACCAGGTCCTGGCATCCCCGGGACAGTGGGGTGACCCTTCCCTTGTCCCCTCCAGTGTCCTGTCCCCCCACCCCCCACGAGTATCCCTACTGCTGGACGCTGGGCTGGGGGATCCCGGGGGGCTGGGGATGAGCCGGGCAGCCCCAGGGCCCTGGCGGTGCTGGTTTTGGGGTGCAGCACACCCCGGCACCCCCTCGCTCCCAGCCCTAGGGGGGTGTCACAGCTTCAGCCCCGCTCATCCCTGTGGCCAAATTCAGGTGCCATCTCAGTGCCTGAAGCGGCTGAGCCCTGTCTGGCTCGTTCCACTTGTAGATGGGACTGGTCTGCGCCCCCAAACCAGCATCTCCAGCCCCACACCTGGGGTTGATCCTGTCCTGGCTCCATCAGGCCAGCTCGTCTCCTGCGGGACAGTGTGACACGTGGTGCCAGAGCTGGTGTGAGCCCAGTGGCACGGACAGGGCATGTGGCGTTGGGTGCATCGAGCCCCAGGGAGCCCCGTGCCTCAGTTTCCCCTTGTCCCTCACAGAGCTGCCGCCCTCCGAGTTCATGCAGGTGGCAGATTCGACGTGGCTGGTGCTCAGCGTCGTCTCCAATGGCCGGGCGCCCTCCGGCTGCCAGGCCACCGGCGTCACCAAGATCGCCAGGTCGGTCATCGCGCCGCTGGCCGAGCACCACGTCTCGGTGCTGATGCTCTCCACCTACCAGACTGACTTCATCCTGGTGAGCGCCGGGCGAGGACGGGGGACGGTGGCACCTGGTCCCACTGGGGTGCGGACCCTGCTGTCCCCATCCGGCTGTGGGGAGGGGTGGTGGCAGCGCTGGCCCTGATCCTGCACCCCCGACCAGGTGCGGGAGCGGGACCTGCCGGTGGTGATCCACACGCTGGCGGGGGAGTTCGACATCTACAAGGAGGAGGGCGGCGAGTGCGTCCCTGTCACCTGTGATGACGGGGACCCTGCTGTCCCCATCTGGCTGCGGGGAGGGGTGGTGGCAGCGCTGGCCCTGATCCTGCACCCCCGACCAGGTGCGGGAGCGGGACCTGCCGGTGGTGATCCACACACTGGCGGGGGAGTTCGACATCTACAAGGAGGAGGGCGGCGAGTGCGTCCCTGTCACCTGTGATGACGTGAGCAACGGCTTCCTCAAGCCCAAGCAGGGTGAGTGATGCCAAGTGCCATGTGCCCTAGGGCCACCCCACCCAGTCCCTGCGGAGATGCTCCAGCTCCCCCCAGTGGCTCCACATCCCTGGGGACCACCCAGTCCTCTCTGAGATGCTCCAGCTCTCGACGGTGGTACCCACATCTTTTGGGGACCTCCAGAGCCACCTGGTCCCCGCTGAGATGCTCCAGCTCCCGCAATTGGTACCCACATCCTTGGGTGACCTCTGCGGCCATCAAGTCCCCTGTGAGATGCTCCAGCTCCCCCCAGTGGTCCCACATCCCTGGTGACCATCCAGTTCCCTCTGAGATGCTCCAGCTCTCGCCAGTGGTACCCACATCCTTGGGGACCTCCAGAGCCATCTGGTTGCTGCCAGATGCTTTAGCTCCTGCCGGTGGTACCCACATCTTTGAGGGACCTCCAAGGCCACCCAGTCCCCACTGAGATGCTTCAGCTCCCCCTAGTGGTACCCACATCCTTGGGGACCACCCAGTCCCCTCTGAGACGTTCCAGCTCTTCTCGGTCGTACCCACATCCTTGGGGGACCTCTGGGGCCACCCAATCCCCCCTGAGATGCTCCAGCTCCCCCCAATAGCTCCACATCCCTGGGGACCACCCAGTCCCCTCTGAGATGCTCCAGCTCTCTCTGGTGGTATCCACATCTTTGGGGGACCTCCAGGGCCACCTGGTTCCTCTGAGGTGCTCTAGCTCCTGCCGGTGGTACCCACATCTTTGGGGGACCTCCAGTCTACCCATGCCCCACTGACACGCTCCAGCTCCCACAGGTGGTACCCACATCCTTGGGGGACCTCCAGGGCAACCCAGTCCCTGCTGAGATCCTCCACCTCATGGTACCCACATCCTTGGGAACCTCCAGGGTCATCCCATCCCTGCTGAGATGCTCCAGCTCCCCGCAGTGGTACCCACAGCCTTGGGGAACCTCCAGGGCCACCCCTCTGTGCCCTGAGGGCTGCCGGGCTGTGGTGCGGTGGCCACGGGGTGGCACTGCGGCACTGTCCCCAAGCTGTCCCCGCGCCTGACGGGTGGCTCTCCCCCTGCCAGCCGCCAGCCCCACGCTGCACCCCGTGCAGAGCCCCCAGACCCGCTTCTGCGTCCTGACCGTGGCCCCCGACACGCTGCCCGCCATCGCCACCATGCTCATCGACGTCCTCTTCTACTCCCACAGGTGGGTCCCAGGGATGGGGACGGTATGGTGGCCCCTCACCCAGTGTCACCTCAACCACAGTGACACCTCCCTCCCCTCGCTCCCAGTGGCTTTTCAAGCTCTGGGTGTATTTTGCGAACTGGTTTTGCCCTCCCGAACATACTGGGGGGCTGCAGCCGTGTGGGTGTCATGGGTCCTGCTGCCACCATGGACGTGGGAGCCCCGAGGTGACCCAGGGGACAAGCCCCTGTTGCAGCAAAGCCCAGGGAAGGGGGATTGTGAAACAGGAGAGAGCGGGTTGCCAGAGGCTGGTGGGAACAGCGCTGGGGTGCGGGGATGCTCCTGGCCAGGACATCCTGTGTCTCCTGGGCTGAGGTCCCCTGGTGGGACCTTCCTGCTCTGGAGGCATCATGGTGCTTCGGAAATGTGTGCCACCAGCGTCACCCCTGCCCTGTGTGTGATTGACACTTGCAGCCCCCCAACCCAGTGGCTGTATGAGCTGCAGACCCTGCGGGTAGCACCCTCTCCTGTCCCCCCGCTCCTCCCCACCCCGTGTCATCCCAACGTGATGCTCAAAGACACCCAGCGCCACCATCAAGCCCTTCTCCTCCCTATTTCGGAGGTCACGACCTCTCCCTGTGACTCTTCTTCCCCCCCCCCTCCTCCTCTGCT